TTTCTTTTTTTTTTTTTGGGGGGGGGGTCTGTTCAACTCTTCTACATCAGTCTGTGGTAGTTTCTAGAAATTTGTTTCTTCTAGGCTTTTAAATTTGTTGGAGTACAGTTCTTCATAGTATTCTATTATTATCCCTTTTATTTCATTTGTTTCTGTTATGATGTCACCCATTTCATTTCTTATTCATGTTATTTGCATCCTCTCTTTCATTTCCTTAGTTAAATTTTCCAGTGGTTTGTCATTTTGTTAATCTTTTCAAAGAACTAGCTTGTATTTTTGCTGGTTTTCTATTGTTTTACTGTTTCATTTTTTCTGCTTTAATCTTTTATTAGGAGCTCTGGTGGAGTAGTGCCTAAGGCATTTGACTGCCAACCAGGAGGCTGGTGGTGCTAACCCACCAGCCACTCTTCAGAAGGAAGATTCGGCAATCTACTTCCATAGTGATACTGCCTTGGAAACCCAAGGAGAGGTCGCTATGAGTCAGATCCAACTCAACGGCAGTGAGTTTGTTTGTTTGTTTTTTAATATGTTATCCTATTGCCTTTTTTCCTTTTTTTTTTTTTTTTTAAATTTTGTTGTGATCTGGGTGAAAGTTTACAGAGCATATTCATTTTCCATACAGCAGTTCATACACATTTTGTTACATGACATCGACTGCAATACCCACACCCATTGCCTACTTGCCTGCCTGGTTTCTGCTGAGAAATCAGATCTTAGTCTTATTCTCTGGTGGCGCAGTGCTAAGGCATTTGACTGCTAACCAGAAGGCTGGCAGTTCAAACCCACCAGCCACTCCTCAGAAAGAAGGTTGGGCAATCTACTTCCATAGTGATACTGCCTCGGAAACCCAAGAAGGGATTGCTATGAGTCAGATGCAACTCAATGGCAGTGAGTTTGGTTTGGTTGGTTTGTTGGTAACATTTTGTTTTCCCTGAGCTGCTCTCAAGATTCTTTTTTTAGTCTTTGGTTTTGGAAAGTTTGATTATGACGTGTCTTGGTAACTTTCTCTTAGAGTCTATTCTATATGGGGTTTGTTGAGCTGCTTGTGTGGATATCTTTTTATCTTTCATGATACTTTGGAAGTTTTCTGGTAGAAGTCTTGTATAATTTTCTCTGTGATTTTTTTGTTCATTTTGCCTCTTCTTGTTCTGGAATTCCAATCAGAGGTTCATTATTTCTTTTGATATTATGCCACATAACACTTAGGTTTTCTTCATTCTGTTTTCCGATTTTTCCTCATACAAGCTGGTGTCCAGGGATTTGTCTTTCAGTTGGGAAATGCGTTCTTCAGCCAGTTTGATTCTATTCTTTTGGCCTTCCAATGGGTTATCTATCTCCACAATTTTACTATTTATCTTCTGGATTTCTAATTTTTTTCTTTTTTTGGTATGATTTCTAATTGTCTATTTACTTTGTCATTTTGCTCTTGTGTGATTTTCCTGAATTCTTCAAGGGTATTGTCTGTTTTTTCCTTGCTTCTGCTTATGGTTTCCTTGAGCTATTTGAAGGTCCTTTATATGTATATATACATATATATATATGTGTGTGTGTGTGTGTGTACCTTTTGAATTCCTTATCAGGTAGTTCTATCACCTGTTCTTAGGGAGATTTCCTATTTTTTATTTTGGTCACTTGCTTCCGCTCTCTTTTCCTTTTTTTGTTTAAACTGAAGTTGTCTGCTGTCTCTGAGACATTTTGAAGTTGTCTTTATTTGTTGATTATGTAGTGGTTTGTTTAACCACCCCCATTTCTTCTTTTTCTTTTCTTTTCTTGCTTTGTTTCAATATATCTGGATGTGTGGGGCAGGCATGCTTCTTTGGTTGTTAGCTTGGCAGCACTAGGGTACTCCCCTGCTGTGTCTGGGTTGGTAGAGTAACTGGTGGAAATGTGGGCAAAGATCTCTGTCCTGTAGAAGAGCTGTGGGTAGGGTGGGCAGGTGTTGTCCACCATCTGTCCGTGATCCAGTGGTGCAGGAGCTGTTGGTGGTGTTCTCCCATGGGTTGAGGGGTGTGGTGCCATAGATATGGCTGACTAGTAGAGAGTTAGATGTCCTCCTTCCATTGGATAGGACAGGAAGAAAAAAAAAAGAACAAGAGAATATTTAAAAATATATGAATAAAAATAAAATGGTGAATGAGAAAAAAAGATTGGTAAAGAAAAAAGAGGGACAAGATGGAGAAATGAACAGATAAGAGAAAATAGAAAAAAGAAGTAGTAGTGAGAAAGATGAGAAAAAAGGAAAAAAGGAAAGGAGTTTTACTTTTTATAGTTACAGTCAGCCTGCAGGCTAGGGAACAAGTGGTAGAGGCACAATCCATTGATCTACCAAAGCATATGCCTACAGATATGGGAGGAGACTGGTGTAAGTGGGCACCTCTAAGAGAGGCGGCTGCAGAGGTGTGCCCCTTGCATTCAATGTGAAAAAGATCTGTCAGTGCCTCAGCAACTGGATGTGGGCAAACTTTAGCTCCTGGCTCTGTCTGCTACAACAGAGTATTTGGGGTGGCTGGGCTAACCAGAAGGTTGGTGGTTCAAACCCACCTAATCACTCTGCAGAAGGAAGACTTGGCAATCTACTTCCATAAAGATTTACCACCTCAGAAACCCAGTGGGGGTTACTATGAGTTGGAATTGACTTGATGGCAGTAAGTTTGGTTTTTAGGCTGCTGCGGAGAAGGACAGGCATCTAGGCAGCTGAGGGCAGAGCTTCCCCAGCCACTTGGTTAGTGGATGCTGAAAGAGTATTTACCCCTAGGTGCTGGGAATGTGTGTTTGTTACATGTATAGTTCTCTGATCGTGATGACACTGAATGGCTCTGGTGCCCTTCTGGGTGCAAGCAGCCATTTATCCAGCTCTTAGACAGATTTAATCAAGTGAGGAGCCACCCTGGGTTTAGCTTCCTCAGCCACCCTAATAGAGGCTTTTCGCCTAATGTTGGTCCTCAGCCCAAACAACTAGTATCTACTCTTACTGCCGTCAACTCAGATCCAACTCCTAGCGACCCTTCCTTGGGTTTCTGAGGAAGTATCACTACAGAAGTTGATCACTCAGTCTTTCTTCCAAGGAGGGACTGGTGGGTTTGAACTGCCAGCCTTCTGGTTAGCAGTCAAATGCCTTAGGCACTATGCCAACAGAGCTCCTACTGAGTTATTTCATTCACTTTTTCTGGCTCCCTTCTTGCTCCACAGCTGCCTGTGCCACTGTAAATTTGTCCCATATTCCTGCACATTCCTCTCCTAGCTCCTGTACATCTTCCCCTCACCTTGAATACCTCCCAATCTGTCTTCATTGCATCTTTATTGCTATGTGGATTCTGTGAAGTTGTTTCTCCTTCTCTTCATCTGATGCCTCTATGCTTAAAATGGTGATGCTTTGGCTGGTCCTGGCTTCTTTTCTCTCCTCAGTCACTGTCCTCACTCTTTCTAATGAGCACTAAATCTAATTTTTTATCCTCTTTATTTGATGTGGAGAATTCCAGGATCATTATCTGTATCTATTCCATTCAGTTTTTCTGAGTCTCTGTTGTAGAGGAATTGGTCAGTGTGTGTTAGCAGGATGCTATCTTGTCTCCTCCTCAGAAATGCCTTAACTTTTTATGATATAATCTGTCGCTGGTATAATTTTCATCTGTTACAGACTCTTTCTGTTGTGCAAGTTTATTTACATTTAATGTAGTTAAGTTTATTATCTTCTCCAAATTATGACAAACATGGCGTTTAATATGTTTTCCAACAAAAATGGCTTTCCTGCTCTTTAAAGTATTAACCAAAACTGCCAATTTACATAGCTAATGCATAAAAACTATTTTTCTGGCTAGTATTTTATGCTCAGGACAGTTAGTTCCCAAACATTGCAGCACACCAAGGTTACATATGTGATTATTTTAAGGGGGTTTGAATGTTTCTGTAACCTGATAAAGCACTATTAATCCTTTGCAGTCACTTTTTAAAAAGTACCTTGTGTGCTGAAAAACAAGTTCAGGAACTTAAAGCAATTTTATGTGAAGTAATATCCTTCCATCAGCATAAATTAGTGTTTTCAATAAAAGAGTTGGTGAATCCTTGTGAGGGATATAAAACATATCATTGTTTAAGTTTTTTACATCCAAAAGTAAGAATACATACCCACTGCTCATGCTTTTGTGATTTGCATAACGTGATACAGTGACAGTTATACACTATCTTCTCAGATGTTTGGTAGTATTTAGGAGAAATATGGACGACCTGGGGATGATCTCTCTAACTCCAGCTGCTTAACTCTAAATTCTATTTAGTAACAGTTTGTGAAATCAGCACATCTCCTCAGAACTCTCCTGCGGGTTGCAAGTGATCAAACAGACAAAACCATAATGACAGGACGGTTAGATCGGTTTAACAGAAAAAGAATTCAGAACACATTCATGAACGACTACAAAACTGCACACCAGGAAGGCCATATCATTTATTACAATCACCACAAATAAAAAAGCATCACTGAAATAAGTATACACAGTATGTGTGCATCTTCTAATTCCTGGAAAATTATCACACATTTATTGGTTTACATTTCATGGTATGGCATAGCCTGCCCTTCCACCCCCTAAAATTAAACAGACTCCAAAGCATCCATGTAATTTCTGGATGAAAAGCATCCTTTGCATTTGTAATTTAGCATTTCTACTTAGACCTTTGTCTGTACTTAAAGAAATTGCATACGTTTCCTAATTTAGGCTTCCTGGCCAGGGAAGTGACATGTTCTGTGTCATGTAAAATTTGGTAGCTTGTAATACCTGTTAAAATTTCAAATGTATCTTGCCTTTTCTGTAGCAAGAGCTAGCCTGCGGATGTTGGATATACAACCAGCTGCAGCTTCCTGCAGGTCCTGATCGGGAGAACCAACCATGTCCAGTAGGAGCTATAACAAATCAAGGAGGAGGAGGAAGGAGACAAGAATTAAACAATAAGCCTAAAGACAAAGTTAAGCTATGAACATTATTTGAAACACTAAATACTTTTTATAGTCACTAAAATGTGTAACACATTCCATTTAGGCTAATATAAATATTACATGCTTAATCACATGCAGGAATTTTCATGAGATTCTTACCTTTTTATTTTCTGGAACTGAGTTAGACCCATCATTTTCTCTCTCTTTTCTTTGGTCATTTAATTTCTCTGAATTCTGCCTCTGAAATGTCTCTTGCATCCCTTCTGGCTTTTCCATCTTATACCATGCCTAGATATTAGCATAAGACCGCTGGTGGCACAATAGTTAAGTACTTGGTTGCTAACTGAAACATTGATGGTTCAAACTCACCAGCCACTCCACAGGTGAAAGATAATGCAGTCCACTTCAGTAAAGATTACAGCCTTAGAAACCCTATGGGGACAGTTCTACTTTGACTGATAGAGTCACTATGAGTCAGAATCGACTTGACAGTACACAAGAACAACAGACTGTTCAAATAAGTATCTACGGACTCCAATCCATCTGATCATGTCACAATCTAATTATATTAGTCCCTTAGTAAAGAGGGAGCTCTGATAGCATAATGGCTAAGACACTTGCCTGCTAACCAGACAGCTGGCGGTTCAAACCCACCAGCCACTCCTCGAAAGGAAGGTTGGGCAATCCTACTTCCGTAGTGATACTGCCTCGGAAACCCAAGGAGGGGTCACTATGAGTTGGGTATGAGTCGGGTTTGACTCGATGGCACATAACAACAACAACAACAGTAAAGACATTAACTCCCAATTCAAACTAACCAGAGCCCAATCTATTAACCTGTCATTTAAGGATTTTTTCACTTTGGCCTCAATTTACCTTTCCATCCTGATTCTTCATTCTCTTGCTCCTTCATGTACTCCAAGGTCACATTTCTCCACTTCTCTTGCCTTTACTGACACCACCCTTCTACCTAAAATTCTCTCTCATCCCTTTCTGAGTTTGTAAATTTTATCCACCTTTTAAGACCTAGTCGAGTCTTCTACAAATCCTCCATAGGTTTCTATCAAACAAAATGCCATATATTCCTCATCAGGGCTCTCTTAGTTTATTCAAATGTCTCTTTCTTCATTTATCTTCTTCCCTTCCTAACAGATATTTGGGTTAATACTTTCTCTCATTCTTTAGAATGTAAACACTGGGAGAAACTTATAATGTACATAAATCCACTGCTATTGAGTCGATTCTGACTCATAATGACCCCTATTGGGTTTCCAAGGCTGTAAATCTTTACAGAAGTAGATTGCCTCATCTTCCTTCCATGGAGCAGCTGGTCATTTGAACCATGACCTTTTGGTTAGCAGCCAAATGCCTTACCCACCATGCCACCAGAGCTCCTTATGACATACATAGTGCCTACTAGTTAGATTTCAAATAAATACTAGGTAAATGAATTAGAACTTTAAAAATCTATCGAATTTGATTCTAATTAATAGTTCTGATAAAAGATGGGAAAAATTTATTTGAATCATCTAATTCTTAGACAATGAGCATTTCAGAACAAAGGTGGATAGTGTCAGAAAATGAGCATGACTCAATCTGCTGAGGAAATATTGTAAAGAGAAATAATGTGAAACATTTTAAATATGCCACACTTAGGAGTGTGGATTTTATTCTGTAGGTGACAGAAAGAAGTTATCTAAGCACTTTAATCAGGAGTGTGACATGATCACATTTGTATTTTAGAAAGATAACTTTTATAACAAGTTACAGATTATGGACTATAAAGAGATATGACCTAAGTAGCTCTGGTTGACATGATCACACTTGTATTTTAGAAAGATAACCTTTATAGCAAGTTACAGAATATGGCCTATAAAGAGGTATGACTGAAGGGTACTATAATACGTAATGTTTATTAAGGACTAAATACAGCATGAGCTATTGTTCTGGTTACCTAGTGCCACTCTGACAAGAATATATACCACAAATGGGATGACCTTAAGAAACAGGAGTTTATTCTTACAATTTGGAGGCTTTAAGTCCAGTTCAAAATGCCAGGCTCTAGGGGCTGGGTGAAAGCCCCTCGACCTTGGGCTTCAGCTTTGCCTCTTGCTCCCAGCCCACTGAAGTTAGAGGCATCTCTTCACTCAGGCAGCTACTGGCTGCTGAGGCTAACAAGCCCAAGGTCGACAAATAAAATGGCACAGTCCTGATGTTACCAAACCACATGGCAGGCCATTAATTCAAGTCCATTGAAAGCCCCAGGATTGGCAAAGCACGGCTGGCTGCTAAACAACAACTCAACTACATACAGGGTTTCAAGGGTGCCATAAGTTAGAGACCGTTCCCAAAGCTGCTTCTTATATATGGAAAACAGACCACATACCCAAAGCAGCTACTTAGCTGCTTGTGGTAAGCCCCACCATGGAGTTAATTGCTAGTCTCATCATGGGGAATAACTACTACCAGCTCCCCAGCCACTTAACCAGGCCCACCCAAGTTGACACAAACATAACCACTACAGCTATTAAATAGGGAAGGCACTCTGGTGGTACAGTGGTTAAAGCATTTGACAATAACCAAAAGGTTGACAGTTTGAATCCACAAGCTGCTCTGCAGCAGAAAGATGACACAGTCTGCTTCTGTAAAGATTCACAGCCTTGGAAACCCTGTAAGGCAGTTGTACTCTGTATCATAGGGTTGCTGTGAGTCAGAATCTACTGGATGGCAATGGGTTTTTTGGAAAGAGGGGAAGGAATAGATTAGGGTATTACCCACAGGACTTGGTGACAAGTTGGACATGGAGAATGAAGGGAGGGGAACAGTCAAGAATGAAGGTCAGGGCAATTCTATTTCCAACAATATGGAGGACGAGATACTCTCAGTGACATAACTAAAAATATTATGTTGGATGAAATAGAAAAACATCTTTTTCAATACATTGATCAGTGAAAAGAAGTCAAGGATTTCATAAGCTAAGTGAAAGTAGGAACAGAGAGAGAAGCAGAGCACCAAAGCTAGTTGAGTGGTATTTGTGAACTTCTGGTGAACTTCAGCTTTGGTTTTTATGGCCCTGCATAGTGCAGGGGATAGGAGAAAAAGCTTATGTGCAAAGTAGGGAGTCTATTAGGAGACCTCTGAATAAAAGAGAATGCGAAGAGGTACAATATCAAGATAAGAGTTGCCAAAAACTGTTGTTGCCAAGGTCAGTCCAACTAATACGACCCTATAGGACAGAGTAGAACTGCTCTACAAAGTTTCCAAGGGTATAAATTTTTACAGGAGCAGACTGCCATATCTTTTTCCCTCAGAGTGGTTAGTGGATTCAAATAGCCAACCTTCTGGTTAGCAGATGAGGGCTTAACCACTATACCACCAGTGTTCCTTAGCTATACCTAGAAATAAACTCTCTCATCCACCACAGGGGCAATTAGGAAATTTTCCATTGTTGTAGAAATAAAGAATTAGTAAATTAGTATAAATTAGTGAAAGTTGTTATTAGTAGTAAGAAAGCCATAGGAATTAAAACATTTGATGTATTGGTATGTTGTAGTTCTTGTTAGGTGTTGTTGCGTCACTTCTGAATCATAGTGATGACAGATTGAAACACTGCCCAGTCCTGCACCATCCTCATAATTGTTGTTATGTTTGAGTTCATGTTGCACTGTTGCAGCCATTGTGTCAATCCATGTCATTGAGGGTATTCCTCTTTTTTTGTGTCTACTTTATCAGGCATAATGTCCTTCTCCAGGGATTGGTCCCTTCTGATAACATGACCAAAGTTCATGAGATGAAGTCTGGCCATTCTCATGTCTAAGGGGCATTCTGGCTGTACTTCTTCCAAGACAGATTTGTTATTCTGGCAGTGTGGTATATTCAATATTCTTCACCAGCACCACAATTCAAAGGCATCAATTCTTCTTCAAGCTTCCTTATTCACTATCCATCTTTCATGTGCATGTGAGGCAAATGAAAATAGCATGGCCTGGATCAGGGGCACTTTAGTCCTCCAAGTGACATCTTTCCTTTTTAACACTTAAAAGAGGTCGTCTTTTGCAGCAGATTTGTCCAGTGCAGTATGTTGTTTGATTTCTTGACTGCTGCTTCCATGGCATTGATAGTGGATCTGAGTAAAATAGAATCCTTGACAACTTCAATCTTTTCTCCATTTATCATGATGTTGCTTATTGGTCCATTTGTGAGGACTTCTGTTTTCTTTATGTTGATGTATAATCCACACTGAAGGCTGTAGTCTTTGATCTTCATCAATAAGTGTTTCAAGCCTTCTTCACTTTCAACAAGCAAGGTTGTAGCATCTGCATATGACATGTTGCTGATGAGTCTTCCTCCAATCCTGATGCTGGGTTTTCCTTCATATAGACCAGCTTCTTGAATTATTTATTCAGCATACAGATTAAATGCATATGATGAAAAGATACAAACCTGACACACACCTTTTCTGATTTTAAATCACACATTTTCCCCTTGTTCTGTTTGAACTACTTCTCTTGGTCTATATGCAGGTTCTGCATAAGTACAATGAAGTGTTTTGGAATTTCCATTCTTTAAAATGTCATCCATAATTTGTTATGATATATATGATTGAATGTCTTTGCACAGTCAATAAAATAATGGTAAACATATTTTTTATATTCTCACTTTACTTGGATCCATAATTGACACCTATGGAAGCAGCAGTCAAGAAATCAGACAGTGTACTGCACTGGGCAAATCTACTGAAAAAGACCAATTTAAAGTGTTAAGTAACAAAGATGTCACTTTGAAGACTAAGATGCACTACAGTGTAGTAAATTACATGGTATGGTTTTTCTAGCCATAGTCTTTGTAACTCCCACTGGATTACTGGATGGGACCATGCAATTTACACTCTTGATTGTTAAAGTCATCCACCTGGAACATTTCTGTTGGTACAGCATGAAGTAATCTTCTGGGAAAGTTTGCTTTCT